TGGGGCGGGCTGAACGCGGACTAGATGATCTGAAAATTCTGCGTGGCGGGCCATGCGGGTTCCACGGGCCGTGCGGGTTCCATGGGCCGTGCGGTCCCGCGGGCCTTGCGTGTCATGCAAGTTCTGAAACGATCTATGTTCATTTGATATTCACTACCTTTATTTACCTTACTGTTTCAATCCCTAATAACACACTTATGTCCCATGAATATCCTTAGGACGTCCTGTCGGGACATTCAGGACGTCCACAGGACGTTCGAATTTGGTCCGTGAAAGTCTGTGGGATGCACAAATGTCCCACTTGAGGACCAACTAGGGACGTCCTCGAGGGATGTCCCTGGGACAACTATCGAATACCTAAATCCTACAGTATTTCTCATCAAGCACTATAGAGGACATCCTTAGGACAACCATAGGACAACCTATCAGCAACGCTGAGGGATATCAATTGGATGTCCATAGGATGTCCCAGGGACGTACGCAATAGTACGCATTATTCTTGGATTTGAATTTTTCTGGCTCCCTCTAGGACCAGATCTTGCATAACTGATTAGGACTTCCAGTTGAGTTGATGGTCCGTAGAAGGTCTACAAAAAGTTTCCCAAGGATGTCCGATGGACTTACGTGAAGGACATCGACGAGGAGTACTTATAGTCTACGAGCAATCATTCGTCGGCGAGGTGTAAGTTGACGTCCTCGCAGGGACAATATATTGAGAGTACCGACTGGGACGGCCATAGGACGTTATTTCTAGGACATTGGAAGAGTACAGTTCATCTACCAATTGGGACATCCGACGGATATCCCTCAGGGACATTCGAAGGATGTCCCTAAGGGACATTTTCGATTGTTATACGATCCTGGAAATATTGAGGGCGTCTGTGCAGAGATATTTGAAGGAATGTACCATCAGGGACAATTCATGGTTGTCCAGAAGGGACATTATATGAGATCTGAAGTCATGCCAGAATATGTACTACTCGGGACATCCGATGGATGTCCCTAAAGGAACGTTTGAAATCATATCCCATCAGGGACATGCCAAGGACGTCCTTGCATGGACATTCTACAATATTTACCACGTGGGACGTCTAAGGGATGCTATTTCTAGGACATTTGAAATGATGTACCAGCTGGGACATTCCGTGGACGTCCTCATTCGGACATTGAATGAGATGTACGGGATGGGATGTCCAAAGGACACTTATTTTCGGTTCGGGACATCCGGACGTGAATTGTACCAAATAGGGGCGTCCCTAGGACGTTGTGTTCTATTAGGGATGATATCAAGTAACGTTGATTTTTTAATGAAGTTTCTGTCAGTTCATAAAAATGAAAAATGATGAATGAATCTAATCCACTTCAATCTTTCAACGGACCGTGTGGGCCTAACGGGCCTAGCGGACCGTGCGGACCTAACGGGCCGTAGGGGTCTAACGGGCCTAACGGGCCGTAGGAGCCTAACGAGCCGTAGGAGCCTAACGAGCCGTGCGGACCTAACGGATCGTGCAGGCCCAACGGGCAGTGCGGGCCTAACGGGCCGTACGGGCCTCGCGGGGCGGGTCAGAATAACCATAAGCGCCGTGCAGTGCGGGGCGGGCCGACCATTCGTAAACTGCGGACCGCGCGGGCCACTATCACATTTCATGCCGTGCGGGTTCCTGCGGGCCAGGCTCCTTTTGTGAATATGCGGGGCGGGCCGGGCCGCAAAAGGATAACCAACAATCTATATTTGAATTCAACGCCACCAAAACTCGAACCTGTAATTTCTTTGTGGTTATATGCTGCCAGGTCAGCTAGTACCTACTAAAAAAAAGATTCTATTGACCTCACTGAAATATCATTTTATATCTCCTGAACTGTCAATAGATCCTTGGGGTTTCAATGATGAATTCACTTGAATCATAAATTGAGGGGGAGTCGTTAATCTACGCCTGAAATATATTCGACCGAAAATATGACGTTAACACAGGATGCAATTTCATTCAAATTGTGCGATTCTGTGTGTATTTTTGGATGTTTTGTAGGTAAGTATCATCAAATTAATGATAGTTACCATTATCCTTATCACATTTTTTCTCGGAATAAAATACGCAGTATCGTACAAAGTTGTTAATTTTATTATGTTTTGCATGTTATTTATTTACATTTCACATAATGGAATTCTATGGATATGATGATAAAATGATTATGATTACATAATGGGTATATGATAGTATGTGGCGCCTTGTATGCCAAAAATGTATCTAATACGAGTACTTTTTTGAAAGATCTCCACAAAACGATAATATTTGAAATCATTCAATTGGTAAAGTCTGTTCATATTTCAATATTCATGGCAAACGCCCTGCCGATTATTGGCAGTCAATATCATCGCCTCCTCTTGTCACACTGTCACTTATTATATCATGTGAGAATAATCAACTGAAATACCTTCCAGGGTGAAACACCAGGCGTAAATTTACAAAGAAAAAAAAAAGTATTCCATGTCAACGTTGATGATTGCCATTTAATTATTTTTCATATTATATTCACGTGAAATTTTCGACAAATATTTCCTTGTTCTGGTGATCTTCTGTATCATTTTGTCTAATACAATAGCCCATTCTTCTAATGCTTCAATTTCGAAAACATCTTGTATGAATATGGGTAGAACCAGTCAATTTAGGTTATTGGATTACTATGTATACCAATTTCTTCTGGAAGTTTGTGTGGATTATCGTTCGTGATTTTCTTAATCACTTTAGATTTTTGTCCAGTAACGACCAAGTCAATGCAAAATAAGTAAGCTCCCGTGAAAACAGTATGTCCAAGATAAAGTTGCACAGCATGTGGATCTCGGAAATAAATCAATCAATCAATCAAACTTTCATTTAATAAGTTTTATTCTACATCAAAAATTAGGGAAGAATCACAACATCATACAATGAAAAATAAACATATTTATTAAGAAACAATTCCTAATATCAACACTAACCATCAACATGAAAAAAAGAAATTGAGAATGGGTTTAAAACATCAATGACATACCAGACAAATATATTTACAAACAACATTAAACATTAAAATAATCTGATCATTAAAATAATTTACTCACATCATGATGCCAGGAGAAACTCATCAACAGAGTAATATGCTTTTTGCAATGAAAATTATTTGAGTTGCCTTTTGAACACATTAAGATTTGAAGACAATTTAATGTCTTCACTGAGATTATTATATAGCTTAACTCCATATTACATGGGATGATTCTGTGATACTGACAATCTACCACGAGGTAGATGCAATTATGATTACAATTCCTAGTGAAATGATCATGAATTTGTTCATTTTTGGGTATACATGAGAAATGATGATATATACATATATATATATATATATTTGAGTTAGATAGATATACAAACTGGGCATTGTTGAAATATCATAATGTATGAATAATTGCCTGCAATGATCTCTGGATGATGCACCTGCCATAATTCTTATTGCTTTTTTCTGTATAATAAATACTGCGGGAGATTTGGCAGATAAACCCCATTGTTCTAGACCATGAGCTATGACAGATTGAATCAAACTGTGTTATAGAAGTTTGAGAACATCGAAAGAAACTGTTTGTCTCAATTGATGAAGTAGATATATATGTTTACTGAGCTTTAGTCTAACACTATCAATATGATAATTCCAGGTTAGCTCATTATCAATATGAACCCCCAAAAATCTTGTATAATTAACTTCATGGATTGTTTCATTGTTTATTTTGACCAAATAACTTTTATCTATAGTCGTATTTTTCATAGCAAAGTTGAGCATTTGAGATTTAGCAGTATTCAGCAACAATCTGTTTAGAGAACACTACTCAGAAATTTGAGCTGTAACCTCTCGGGCTCTATCAACAACTTCCGAGATAGTTCCTGCAGATATAAAAAGATTAGTATCATCAGCAGAAATCAGTTATTGAAGCTTCCGTACAGAAGTTGGGAAGATCGTTAATAAAAACTGAAAATGAGAGTGGTCCTAGGACAGAGCCTTGGGGAACTCCAATCGGAGCGCATCTTGAATTCCAATACGTTCCATTCACACTGACCACCTGACTACGACCAGCTAGGTATTACCTGAACCAATTGAATGCAGAACCCTTTATACCATAAATCTGTAGTTTATACAACAATATATCGATAGCAATAAACGGTAGGAGATACGAAGTCGGTTAAATGGGGAAAAAGTTGCGCATTCGGAGGCTTATACCAACAGCCTTCGGAAATTTTCAAAATTGTTTTTAGTTCTTTAGTTATATCGAAAAGAGTGAGTTTTTGGAATATCGATTTTTTTTCTCCGTTATTATTAGAGATACAGAGAACTGAGCAATTTCAAATGATGTTCAAAGAGATGATTCCGATTTTTTCATGCGACGTTTCATAGTAGTACAACCATTACCAACTTTTGTTTTTTGAATACGGTCCTGAAAATGTCTTCACAGATTCTGAAAGATATTTTTCATTGAAAATTCAATTGATTGTGTTTCGACCTATATTCGAAGTAATTCGTATGAAAATTCATTAACGATTTGAAGCGCACTGCATCGAATAATTTAGTGAAATAGTTTCTATTCACTTTTCAGTATCGAATAACTAATCCACCAATGTTCGATACTAAATGATCAGAAATAAGTGGAACTGGTGGCATTTTTCCTCTGAAATTTCGAAAAAACATTGATGAACGCTAAAAATTGGTCGAAACACATTCAAACCACCTTGTAGATTACATGGTTGAATTCAGAATCAAAAATCTTTCAGAATCAGAATTATGATGGTTCTACGAATACGAAACGTCGTATAACAAAATCGGTATCACCACGTTGAACGTCATCGAAAGTTGCTAGGTAAAAGTCTTCAGTTTATCTGTATTTCTAATAATAACGGAGAAAAAAAATAAAATCGATATTCCAAAAACTCACTGTTTTCGACATTACTGAAAAACTGAAAACAATTTTGAAAATTTTCGAAGGCTGTTGATACGAGCCTCCGAATGCGCAACTTTTTCTCCATTCAACCAACCTCGCATCTCCTACCGTTTTCCAGATCCGTATGCTGTGCAACCTTGGACAGACAGTATATCCAATTTCGAGTAATCTCAACATATTTTTCGCATTGTATAGTGCATCAACAATTCATCTGAGATTTCGGTTTTCACAGTCCTACTCAAACTTTCACCTCAATAATACTCTTCATGTCAAAATCATCGATTGAGCTCCTGCTGAATCTGTGCTAGAGATTTCCCCCTCGTCTCAGGCACCACATAGTGAACGAACACAGTAGCCGACGCCATGATACCAGCCAGGATATAGAAAGTGACGTGCCTGCCCAGAGCAACGTTCAACAATGGAAAAGAGAAAGTCACAAGGAAAGCGCACCCCCAATTAGCCAATATCCCGATACCACTAGCGATGCCTTTGATTTCAGGAGCAAACAGCTCGCTCAGCAACATCCAAGTAACTGGCCCATAGCCAAGGGAAAGGAAACACATGAAGAGGATCGTAGCTGCAAGCGGAAGGAAGCTCATGAATGTTCCCATATTGATCGATAACATTTTCAAGTGGAAGAACATTCCTAAAGCTGCTAGGCAGAGCATCATCCCTGTAGATGAAAGCATCAGGAAGAACTTCCTGCCAGCTTTTTCGATCACTAAAGTCGCGAGGTACGACACACACACTTGAGCCAAGTTCATGATGATAGCAGAAATGAAAGGAGATATGCTCGTACCGGCTGCCTCGAAGATAGTTACTGTGTAGAAGACCAGCGCATTGATTCCACTGAGCTGGAGAAAAGAGAGGACCCCGACTACAGAGATGAGTGCTCTGAGATTCCCTCTATCGGCTACTAAATCTTTGAGGCTAGCCTGTTTCCTCTGGGACTCCATTAATTGATCATCCATCTCCTTCAGTTCAGCTGCCACATTGTAAACGCTTCCTCTGAGTTCAATGAGGTTAGCTTCAGCTTCTTTCACCCTGTTCTTGCTGAGTAAGAACACTGGAGACTCTGGCATGAAAACAAAGCTCGCACCGAAGATGATAGCTGGTAATCCCAGTAGGAAAGCCAGTCCCACCCAGGTGGTGAAGGACCCCACTACGCAAGCGAACAGTATTCCAGAAGCTAGGAACAACTGAAAGAAAGAAACTAAGGTTCCACGGTTGCTGGCTTCGGTGATTTCTCCGATGTACATCGGTCCGACGACGCAAATCCCACCTAGTCCTACACCAGCTAGCAGCCTTGCTACGATCACCATCTGGAGGTTAACGGAGAAAGCTAGCAGTACGTAGTTAAGCAGGAATAGCATCGATAGGCTGAGTACTGTCACTTTTCTGCCGTATTTGTCGGCCAAGTATCCTACAGGTATAGCTGATATCAGGGCACCTAGGGTTAGCATCGATCCTACTATGGCACTCTCGTTGTGGGTTATGGTGAAGCCTGGTGAGGATGTGAATGAGTCCGTTGAGTTGGTGGTGTTTGTGTTGTTGAGGACCAAGATGTGAGTCAGGGCAGGAGATGTCCATGATAGAGTAGTACCGGCGCAAAAAGCTCCCATGGAAACTGCAAGAGAAGAAGTTGCAAGGTTATGTGGAAAATTTTAGGATTCTTAGCAAAAGTAACAACTAATTTGGAAATATCAGTGTTTCATGCCTACATAAGTATTATATGAATCTAGAATTATTGATTCCACCAGTGTTATTATTGAAGAGTTCGTATAACTAACACTCACGATCATTCGTTATTAAATAGATTGATATTGAACAACAGCCAAATTGTATGGACTTTTTTGAATTATTAATAATCAAGTTTTTATAATACGTGATGTCATGTGTGCCTTTTAGCACAGTAACCATAGAACTCACCTATTGTTTGTATTGATATTCCTCCACATGAAGAATATCTTGGATTTCATATTAAAATATAAACTATGAGAGTTTGAGCCATAGAAATGAAGAATTTTCACATAGACAGTTCAACATTGAGCTCAAAGGTACTATTGCCTGGCGGAGAGCTGACAACAAATTTCATTGTCCGATCAATAGATCGATATCTTCTACCTCATTGTACTGCCGTAACATCATTAAAAACTGATCGGAATGTCTGGCAGGTTTTCAGTGATAGAGGCGGCCGTGGTATGGCCGTGAAGGAATGAAATGAATCAATGCAACGTACGATCAATAGAGCGCTGAATTTTTGTGGGGGTGGTAGCAGATTATGTTTGCTTTCCAATGAAAATTATGCCAAACACATTGAGTAATGGAATCATACCGTCAGACAGCGTTGAAGGTGCGAGAACACGACCCTCCATCATGTGATAAATAGAGCCAATTTTTCTTCGAGACAATAGCCCCTCAGTATTATGTACATGCAATGCCAGACACAAAGCTTTCAGCCGAACAACGACCCAGACAACGAAAGACGTACCTGATTGTTTTAGAGATAGAGCCTCCAGTCAACGCTTCTCTACTCCAGACCCTCAGCCCTCAGTATTATATAAGGCCTGTTCGTTTGTATTGCTAAACTTGCTAAATTTGATTTTTTCCCAAATTTGTCCTTGTTCATGGCATGATGTGAACAGAGAGAGTCATAGAAAAAAATCAAGTTCAGCAGGTTGAGCAAGCACAAACGAACATGCCTATACATGCAATATCAAAGATAACATTTTCAGTCGAACAACCCGTCAAGTACCAGATATTCCTACAGATAGAGCCTCCAAACAACGTTTCTTCTTCACGTTGGACTCTCAGTATTAAATAATTACATGCAATGCCAGACAAATAATTTTTATCCGAACAACCCCCTCATAAAATGATGAATGTCGAAAGACGGACCTGATCGTCTTATACAATACAATACAAATACAACTTCTGTACAGATTATGAGAGTATAAAATATACAAAAAGCTCATTGGACTATTCGAATTCAAAATATACAATTAAAATAAGTAGGCAGTACAACAGTTATTCATTAACATTACTAGTTTATACAGGTAGGTATACACAATTGACACAATTCATTACAGTTATCTAAAATTATTCACATTGCTGAAAATTCATCTGTACAATAAAATGCATTGTTTAAGAAATATGCTGTTAGCTCATCTTCAAATTTGGTTTTATTTCCTTTGTCGCCAAAGAGATTTTGGAATTTGTTATAACATTTTATTTGTTGATAGGTGTGAGAGTTTTGACTGACTGCGAGTCTGGAATAAGACTGATGTAGCTGCTTACGACCACGTGTTTCATAATTATGAACATCACGATTTATTTTTACAAATTTATTATTCACTATATCTTTAATCAAGATATATATATATATATATATATAGAGTGACGGTAGAGTCATGATCCCCAATTCAACAAATACTGTTCTGCAGGAGACACTAGGGTGGATTCCCTTCATGCATCGTACAATTATCTTTTGAAGAATGAAAACTTTATTGAAATAAGCTGAGGCCCCCCAAAAAATAAGTCCATATGACAGTATTGACTGTACCAGACCAAAATACGCAATTCTCAAAACATCCATCGATACAGTGTTTTTTAATTGTCTGATGAGGAAATAAGCAGAACTCTATTTGCAAACTATGCTATCAATATGAATCTCCCATGTCATTTTTTTATCAAGTGTAATTCCCAAAAATTTTATGGAATCAACTTCTTGTATGGAGTGCCCATTTAGTCTCACCAAGCTACTGGAATTCTGATTAATATTTTTTATTTTGAATGACATGAAGACTGTCTTTTTTTCATTCATCGTTGAGCCATTATTCGCACAATATTTATGGAACTCTTCTGCACTTCAATCTGCGTCAACTACATACAGGGTAATATTAAAATAAAAGCAAATATTTCGAAACCTAAGAAAATTTGACATATATTATCGAATGGCACCAAGGAAAAAAATATAGGAATCGAAATGAAATTTGGGGTGAGATACCTTTTTTCACCCAAAGTTCCATTGAGACTAGTACATCAATATGTATAATATGATTACCATTCATATTAATTACCTAATGAAAATCCTGAATTATTCCAATGGGCTGCACAAAACAAGCGCCTCAAGTGCTTAGGTGAACCCTTGGGATAATAAAGGATAACTGTTATAAATTGTTAATATATCTAAGTATCTTGTTATATCGAACGAATCAATAAATCAAATCAAATCAAATCAAATTCGATCATATAAATAATTTCAAAGTGGTGTACTCGTTTTTTTTTATTTTTTGTTCAATTTCCATGATGAAATACTATGCAAAATTTTATTAACTTCTTCAACAGTTATCAATCTAAATGAAGATTGCATAGAAGGATCATGAGCTGAATTAATATAGAAATCAATTCTCTCATCACAATTATCAGTTACATTCTGCAAGTATGTAGCGAAGTAATTGTTGAAAGCATTGGGATTCGATGAGTTATCGGGAATTGTATTTTTAGAGTTTGAACAAGCTCCCAGGTTTTTAAAAACTTTCCAAGAAGTTTTCGAATTCTTCATTTTAAATACCTGATTGAGATAAGCCTTTTTTTCACTCCTAGTTACCGTGAGTGTGTGGTTTCTCAATTCTTTATATTTGTTGAAGTCATCTTCTTGCTAGGTTCTTTTGTATTTTTGCAAAGCTTCGTCTCTCTCTTCCTTCAAGATTATCAAATTATCAGTCAGCCAGGGTTCTGGTGGCTTTGTTACGTTTCTTTGAACAATCAGAGCATTATTATTATTAAATATCACCCTGTGTTGGTAACAGGTTCATCTTTCGACCTTTGTATTTGGGATTGTTCGGCTGAAAATTGGCGGTATGATGAACCTCTCAATGCGTCTGGAATAATTTTGATTGAAAAACAATAATAATCGGCTACCTCCCCACAAATATTCAGCGTTTCATTATTCGTACGTTGCATTGATTTTTTTTTTCATGGCTTATGGCCATACCCCGGCAGCATCCACCACTGAAAATCGGCCAGACATCCTGATCAGTTCTCAATGATGTAAAGGCAGTACAATAGGGTAGGAGATATCGATCTATCAATCAGACAATGCAATTTGTTGTCAGCTCTTAGACTAGATTAAACAGTATTATTTTATAAATGATTATTTTCATTATCATTGACATCAAATAGTACAGTTGGGGTTGGATTTCATCTAAATATTTCAATATTCTTCATTGGATTCATCTACTCATGTAGTGATTCCAGTAACAAAAGACAACTCTAAGGGGAAACACCAATCATTGTAGCCTATAGGCACATTGTGTTACACCTACATTTGGCAACAGTAGGATTGAGTTTTTTTTTATCGAAATAATCCAAGAATGGAATTTAGTTTACTCCTTGGGACGCACGCAAGAGAATCCCTATACTGTTACGATATTATTATACAGTGAATAAGTACAAACAATTCAGAGGGTTATTCCTTGACATATTCCATGGTAAAAAGTGCATATGAACATGTGTCGTCACCTGCTTCGTTCTTGAGATACCGGGTATCAATGTTTTCAATAAATATCGTTTTTTCATTGATTACGCAAACGTTTTTTTTGTCAATTCCAATAGATCTTAGTGTATTCGTTAACGGTAACATAGCGCCTTCTTGGTGTGATTAAAATCGAAATTATATATTCTAGTGGCGACATAGTATCATTGTACGACACTGTTTCATATGTTCATCAGATCAAACGAATAAATATTACATTGTTCATTAGGATCAAATGTAACACTTTGTTTGACAAGCGATATTTGCGTTTGCAAGGCGTAGCGACCGCGAAGCCGAGCACGCAAATTTTGCGAGTCAAACAGAATCTCTTTTGATCCGAATGAAACATGCTATTTTTCTTCAATAAGAATAATTGATATCTAATTAATAAAATGTAAGTTGAGTTACCACTATTTTGACTCAGCATTGAGCATATTCTGCCTGTGTCAAAGTAGCTATCATATCAACTGTCATCCGAGACACTTAATTCCTAGGAGTTAAACTCCAACTTTAGCTCCTAGACACTGAAAGTGTTGCCTAGCAACATACATTATAGTAGATTGTTTCATTAGGATCAAAAGTGACACTTTGTCTGACAGGCGAATTTTGCATTTGCGAGGCGGAGCATCTAGCGAAACCAAGCGAAAGCAAAATTTGCGAGTCAAACAGAGTCACTTTTGATCCGAATGAAACATGCTAGTTTATCTGCAACTGAAGGAATTATCTGAAATAAATATGTGAAGTGATAAACAATGTGACTTACTTGACAGATTATTATTATACCTATCTTATAATAATATAGGTAAGTAGACTAGACGCAAGACTTCAGACTGATTCACATCAGAATATTGATGGACGATTACTTTATTTTGTTACAATTTGTGTTGACATGCATCATGAGATACTACAGGCACGAATTCAATACTATTCCCGAAACGTGGATGCCGTGCCATTGCCATTGACAAATCAGGTTTATTCAATTTTCAAGGATGTTCGAATTTTAGTTTCAATATGAATACAACCACAAAATGACCTATTTGTGTATTTTATTGAATACATAAATCGATGAATTCATTTGGACCAGGTGTCAGCCTTAATAGCAAATACCGCGCCAGTGCCATAGGTATAGGAAAAAGAAGTGGAAAATGTTTGGATAGTGAGCATATCAACAAAAATAATAGCGATTATTTATTTCTCTCTGATTTCCACTGTGTTTGGCTGTGTGAGACAAAACAGTATTGCTGGCCGTGATTATCCTGAAGCAAGTTATTCAATCAATCAGATCCCAAAAATGAATGAAATATAGATCCAGCAAGTATGTGAATCTTGAAGGCTTTCCTGAGCGAAAGAAAAATCCCTACTTAACTATAATATGAGGTATTCCCAGCAAACATTAAACTAGCGGGAGAAGTCTGGCCCAGTGCAGGCTAGTCTGGGAAAGTGACGATGCCTGGGTATTGGTAATGGGCCGATGATTTTCCTATGTCAAGTAACCATCAGTTGAGAATACGATGATGGGCTTATGATGGTAAGATGTCTGGAACTAATTGAATACTAACGAGATCTGACCCTTTGCTGGCCAATTTCATGTTCGCTACTCGTCCCCCTTGTGGATGTTCTGGGAACGTCTAAATCAACAATCAGCTGATCAATATTATATGTGACTAAGATGGCTGACTCTCGTGAGTGGTGATCGCGTACTAGTTTGTTTATGTCGAGATAATGTGGTCCTCTCTTTCCCTGGTGGTTATTTATAATGGCAGGAGTATTCTCAATTGATAATAATATTGGAGACGGATTCTTCAATTATGATAATATTGAGTAAGTATCAATCTACCTACATAGTGTTTCGAATTTCATTAGTGAATGCATGTGTTTGGTATCTCGTAACCTCTTATACCTAATGATCATAATAATTGGAGTTGGCTATACTTCTCCGAAAGCAACCATCATTTTCAACTTGTTTGTTGCTATCGAAAGTAATCTTAGTTTATGTGACCCCTCCCCATATTGGAGAACTAAATAACAATAAGGTTTCAGCTACAGAAATACCTGAGCCAAGAAAAAAATGAGTACTGAAAAGCTCCATGTTATCACGTCATCAGACTATATTATCAAGTTATAAATTCATGCAACTCATAGGCCACTAATATATAACTAATGATGCATTTTAGAAGTACCTCACAACGAAGAATCAACTTTGAAGGAATGCTACCCAATAAGAAGTAGATATACCACATACCAACCAGTAAGCAGTCACTCCGAGAAGTTTTATCGTTGAAGACAGAGAGGTTAAGAAGATATCATTGTGTCATTCATAAAATTGTTTTCTTGGAATCTGGTATGTGTCTGATCTATGACGGGAGGGTTATATTGTGAAATAAAGAGGTACTAGAACTTTCAGATCCATTGGACCCCTGAAATGTCGTATATTGGCCATTACAGTCCCATCATTTATGTATATGCTGGGCTTGCTATGGGAAACTCAATGTGTCGATTGAATCGTACTGGCCTTCTGCCGGGGAACTGAATATGACTGCTGGGTACCCAGCAGTGGGACCAGCTGCCGGCCGCAGTGTACTGATGTCAGGTATAGGAAAAATATATTAGGCCATTGATGCTCCATATCAAAATGTTTGCTGGGTTCATATCTCCAGCATGAGTATGAAATGCCATATCTGCTGAAATCGGGAACGAATCAGGTAACAATTGATACTCCACTTCAACATCCTCTGTATCTCAAAAACGAAGCAAAAGTTTGATTGATTGATTGATTGATTGATTGATTGATTGATTGATTGATTGATTGACGATTGATTTGAACTTTTTCTCCAGAAGAATGACAAGGAATAACTCCTGAATTGTTTAGCACTTATTTCCTGCGTGGATGAAATGTTTGTGTTCTTCCTTCGAGTATTTTTCTCTACTCCTGCTATTCACCTGATTCGCCATTTCTACAATTGTATTTGAATAATCCTTATATTTTCAAATATTGAGAAAGCTGGAAAAACTAAAAAGACTATAGAGGAGTTATCAGAATGGGATGTACATACATAAACTGTTGGAAGAAATTGAAATTAATTATTAAAATTTCTAAATTCATTGCTATATATTAGTTTTTTCACAGAAAGAATAATTCAGTTGTATCTCCTATAGCAGACAATTGGAAATATTATATCCATAGGTCCTAGATTACCTACTATATTGAACTACATAGCCGGTAATATGTTATGCATAAAGCAGGGATCAACAAAATTTTTATTCAAACTCCTGTATAGTATTATTTTCATCCCTAGTGCCATTCTGATCTGAATATTACACGATGAAGATTTCACGTTTGCCGTATACAGGGTGGCATTGAAATAAATGCAAATATTTCAAACCCTGAGGAAGCTCGGCGTATACTATCGAGTGGCTCCAATGGAAAAACCAAAGTTCTACACTGTAGCAACTTTGAAGTCCTCAATTTTTTCCCGTTTTCTGTTCAATTTTCGGGATGAAATGTCTCGTTAAATAAAAGAAATTGAAAAATCTGATGTCATGGCAATATTTGTTAGACTATATCAGATCGGTGTGCTGAATATATGTACTTATTTCAAAACCCCGTATATACTCGTATTTCCATTGAAGCTCAGCTATTCTACAGAGTGATGAATATTCAATACAAACCTGAACTAGTTGCCAAATACTGCTTAAGCTTTTTAGATGGCTGTGGAGGGATTTTTTCTAGCATCGGTCTTGTAGTATCTGTGTAAACCTCACCCATTTTGTCACAGTGATAATAATAATAATAGTAAGTATGTCCGTAGCGCAATTTTTCTATCAATCACATCAAGCAGTCAGAGGTGTTAACATTGAATGAAATTTTAAGATTTTCAATTGTTATGGTAGATATCTGTTGTTCAAGGTATAATAAAGATATATCTAATAGTAGAATAAACTAATATTTTTATCTTGTTTGATTTTTCATTATTGTGGAAAGAATTGTGTTTGACTTATTTTAGCATAACACAAATAAACATCATCGTTGAAGTAGGTACAACAGTTACAGAATCAGGTAAAACTAGTGGAATAACATGATCCAGCTTTTTATAATATTATATCAAGAAAGCAAAGGCGTCCGTCTCCTCATTAAAGGATTAGGAGAGTAGGAGATTCAAAGTTACAACTTTTATACTCCCTACTAGGGCTGGGCAAAAATATTGATATATATACAGGGTGTCCCATAAGTAATGGATCAAAAGTAGTGGGGTGGTAGAGGGGGTAATTCGTAATCAAACTAACGATATATGCTGTCATCAAATTGTTGATGGTTCAAAAGTTATTCAATTTTTCTGAAAAATGCGACGCATTCGGAAAAAATTAATAACAAAAAGGCTGTTTTGAATAATCTCATATATTATACCATTTCGGAATCTGTATTGAATGGGCAACTTTTTCTTATGATTGGTTATCTTTGTGGGGTAGTTTTTAAATCTGCCAGCGGCATTTAAAAATCGACTTGAATATTTCATTCGATGACAAAACTCGAGGAAAACAACATTTTTCTCAGGTAACTGATAAGGAGTAATACATGTCATGAAATTATTTCTGGTGAATGATGCATCCATGTGGATGAAATTTGTAAAAGAAAAAATCACAAATGTGACAGTTTTATTGTACATGATTCTTTTTATATAAATGAAAAAAACATTAATAACTTTTGAACCATCAACAATTGGATAACCACATATACGGTTAGTTTGATTGGAAATGACCCTCCCCCCTACCACCCCACTTCTTTTGATCCATTAATTATGGGACACCCTTTTTTTTATCGCTTGAAGCGCACGAAAGGAAATCCCTATAATGTTCAAAGAACATCGTGCGTTCCTATAAGGTGGATAGGGACAGGAGGTAGGTATTGGAATTTTTTCTGAACTCCTGGAGATTATATGTTGTTGGGAATACTTCCTCAGGCAATGAATTCCAGAGCCTAGCCGTTCTATGGATGAAGGAGTTTTGATAAAGTGCTGTTCGACATCTTTCGAGGTTGACAACGAATGGATGTGCTGACTGGGCTTGTCTAGTTCGTCTGACTGGTATTGCTAGTGAAGGGATGATAGCAGAGATTTCCGAAGAACATTTCCCGTGGAAGTATCGATAGAAAAGTGAAAGGTCGCCGACCTTTCTATACGGTGTTCCTATGATGTCAAAGAGTGAGTGAGTGTGGCTTCACCCACCAGGCGGATGGCTCTACTCTAGATGGAATCTAAGAGCATCGGCGTTACATGGGATGCTCCAAGGAAGTTTCTTTATATGAAAGATCCCATTTTTTTCCATTTCCAATGACCCCCTCAAATGTTTTACACTTATTTAGTTACACCCTGTATAGATATATCGAATAACGATAACATGAAAATCGATATATCGATATATCTATATATAATGTGGATTAGAATACTTGTAGTTTCATACTGGTCCATCGGATATTATCTCTCGACGAGGGCAAAATATTCACGGAAATATTGACGCTCTGCCACTAACTCAGATCAGATTCGTGATTAGGTTCTCTCTATTCAGAATTTCTTTTCACGTCCTGTATGATGAATATTGAATCTGTCATACATCCAAAAACAAATATTTCTGTTGTCTCAACACATCACCAATTGATCCATTCTAGGAACTTGAAATTATTCAGCAGAACCATCCAGCAGCAGAAATCATCATCGTGAGCTCCAAGAGACGAGAAAAAACATTCTAACAGAACTGATGTAGATAAGCAACAAGCCGAAGCTTTCCGTATCACTCAGAGCATAGAGCAGCTTATCTAGGAACCCACATGAATTCCCGATGTCAATAACCATACTGCCAATACACATGACTCATTTCTCACTAACAATTCAGCACCTTACACCATGAATATATGAGCTCCACTAAGCAATTCTGACCACACACATTTCCACAACCTTTCTACGAAAAAGTTCCGCCAGACATTCCACCCGAAAGTCGAATGCGTGCAATCGTCTTTCGTAAAAGCACTATCAGCCTCCCGATCTCAAGCGACAGGTCCTGACAGAATTGAACCTATCGTTCTCAAAATAATTGACACCGATTATCTGCAAGTTATTCATCATCTCCTACGATTCGGGCATTTTTCCATGTTGCTGAAAATAGCTCCAACCAATCCTCGAAAAAACAAAAGAAAGCCTGTCCATCAACTATAGCCCAATTGTCATATTAGCCATCTCCAAAGTGATGGAGAACGCTATCAACATTGAGCTCATCAAATATCTGGAAAGCTCAAGAATCATTTATGATATACAATATGACTTTCACCACCGAAGATCAACTGGAGATTTACTCGCCTACGTCACTTATATTATATGGTGAGCTTAATTAGAAAAAAGAAACATTGGAAATCTCTAGCTGTGGCGTTATATCGTGTTCGGCACCAAGGACTCCTCCATAAACTACCATCATACGGCTTACCACCTCAGCTATGCCAACTTTCATCCAGTTTTCTTTCAGGCAGATCGCTTCATGTGGTGGAGGACGGAGCGTTTGATACCATTGCCATCAATTCCGGCGTTCCACAAGGATCAATGTTGAAAGCAACATTGTTCCTACTTCATATCAATGATCTGTTGGTAGCAACCAATTGCTCTACCCACAGCTTCGCGGACGATAGTACTCTCCATACTGCGTTCTCTTCCAGAATATCAATGTCTTCCCAGAAAAACTTACGACGAAGGCATGTCAACGCTGTCAATGACAATCTTGCTGAAATCACAGCCTGGGGAACCAACAAACATAGATGAATTCAACTCCACCAAAATCAAACCTGCATTTTTTCCAGAAAGGCGGAACTCAGTATGCCTGATAATAAAAATGTCTGGTACCACCATTTCCACCAAGCCCTCTATATCGATGTTCGGTATTTCCATCATCAATACGCTTTTGATGAAAAAATTATGCTCGATTCATTGCGAAAGGTGGTTCACAAAAACTCGAATTTTTATTTCGTGCAAAAATATACTCCATATCTTAAAACAGCATCTCATGATCTACAAAGCATAGATACAGCCAGTTTTATGATACTGTTCTCACATGATATGGAGTTCAGTTCAGTGATGTCACACTCACTAATTCTTTGACTTCATCAGAACACCGTAGAAATGTTGGCGACTTTCTATTGTTCCTTAGATTCTTCCACGAGAAATGTTTCTCAGGAATCTCTGCTATCATTCCATCACTAGCAATATAGCACTCAGACGAACTCGACAGGCCTAGGAGTTTTCTTCGGTCCCGAAACGTCCAAAGATAAGGAAAAATACGATATTTTCCAATATATCTATATTTCTTTCCTTCAAACATTTTTTCAAACAAATTGTCACTGACAAGCTACTGGATTTTTCTTTGAGACTCCCCCATAGAAACATTTTTTAAACGCAGTGACATTTTGGGGCAAATCATCAGACTCCTACCTACTTGACATACATGGAAACTGAGATGGAATTCATTATTTCAGGACTGAACATTTTTCAGAAGGAATATGGGTATTTAGTGAATCAGACGTTCTTTTTTATGTTCTCGAATCCGCAGTGATTTCCAACCTATCTTGTCTGATGATATGATTTTCCGGGCATATGTAGGTGGTTCCATGGCTGCTAGCGAGCAGTATATATCACTGATGGTAATTTCAATTGGTCATCGACTGTATCTTCGGGATATTGCTTGCTCCTGAAAATTCAAAAATCCTAACTCGATAATTACATAAGATACGGGGGTGCTTTCATGATAAGTGAGACAAAAATGGAATTCTCAGCACTGAAGTTGTTTTCAGGAATAATATGTATAGTTAGTGAATTGGGCGTCCTGAATCTGAATCCGAAGTGATGCTTCCTTATATCATTTTACGGAAATTGGGGTGGTTCCATGGCTGTTAGCGACACACTCTTTGCGGATGACACCACGTAGAGCTTGAAGCCATGCAGGCAAGAGTGAAGGACGGGTTTAACGCAAATGAGCTCCTCATGAACGAAGACGAAACAGATAAATTGGTTTCTTCCCTGAGAGATTCCAGTAACGTGAATAAAAATGTGGAGAGTGTTCGATTCCTTGGAGTGTACATTGACCTCACTCTAAGATGGGATGACCAAATCAACCAGGTTCATCAAGGCTTAGCAGGGCACTTTTCGTCGTTCGGAACCTTTCCGAGAATATCTCAGAAAAGGTTATGAAAACATCGTACCATGCTATATTCCACTCCGTAATGACATATGGTATCTTGGTTTGGGGTCACTCCCCTCTTGTGTTCAGACTTTTTGGGTTACAGAGGCGAGCTATTCGAATCATGGCGGGCCTGAGTTTCAGGGGGGACTGCAGACAAGCATTTAAACATTTCAATATACTCACCTTAACGTCTCATTACATACTAGAAAATCTGATGTATGTGAAGGACAATGAGGATGAATTCAGAGTGCATTGTGGGGTCCACAACTATGATACAAGAAAAAAAAAACTTGCTCATCCCAGCTTATCATTGGTTGAAAAGGTGTCAAGATGGCCCAAGGTATCTATCCATACAATTTTTCAATACTCTACCAGATTCCATGAGGAACTTGGTACGAGATGAATTTAAGAATTAAGTTAAGCAGATTTTGTATCTAAATTGCTTTTACTCATATGATGAATTCCTCACACACAAATTTTAATAATTTTTTCTAATATTTTCTAATATTTTCTGTTAATAATCAAATGTTTTAGTCTAACTCTAAATATACTATGTAATTGGATTGTAGCTCCACTATATTGCGCCAAAATTCATAATTTTAATTTTAATTAAATGCTCATA